AGCCGACTACTCCACTAGAAAAAAATGCGAGAATGAATTATAGAATAAAACGAATAAATAAAAAAAATACTAAGTTAACTTTAATTTAAGTTTAAGAGAATGAAATTCATAGGTGGATCTAAATAGAATATCTCAGCAAATTCTCTTTAGTCTGCTATAATGGCACTGCGTTTTTTGGACCGTAGTTGAAAACGCGGAGAACCCAGGCCTGTCATGTAAAAAACAAGAAGCCAGATCCTATTTTTATGAATTAAGAAACTTAACCTATTCATAGCTATGTGCTTCTGTACATAACCCCAACACAAATAAATTAAATGATTTAAATAAGCCCATTTTCAGATAAATCTATATACATTTACATTTTTGTGTGCTTTAGATGTTGAGCTGTATATAACTAGTTAGATATTTTATGATATTATTCTTGGAAATCTGTGCAAGACTTTTGACTCGAGTAAATAAAAAAATAAAAAAATCTGGAAGGTACTAAAGGGAGCTTAGAGACAAAAAAATATTAAATTTTGAAAACAATTGAAAACGAATATAAACATCAACATAGGGGTCCCGCACGATGAAAACATGTCTCTGTCGAGGTTTGTAGCAGACTTGTCAGGATAGAGGGTAAAGAGACACAGGGGTTATGCTGTGTAAGGTGTCCTGACTGACATGAATCATTGCTGTCCCGACACAAGTATGCAGTTTGCCTTTTATGAGTACTGAGTTACCACTAAGTAAAGTTTGGTAGTAGATCTGCTGAATCACAATGTTCTCGTCCTACTTTTTTGAAGAAAGAACTATTTCAAGCATAGTTAACTGATGCGATAGGTGATGCAAGCGAAGACATCCTGGTCTTTGGAGGTCCAATTTATGCTGCTAAGATATTGGGGCTATGAGGTTGAGACTTAGCAAGGAGTGGACTTGAAGAGTGGAGTTTATGTCGGTTGGGACTAGGCCAAATTCATTTTAGAACATTTCACATTAAAAATGATTCGATAGAAATGGGGCAAATCGATGCATACGAACATTAGAACAGTTATGCAAGTTTAAGTGTCTTCGTAGTGACAGATAAACACGATCCAACGAGTAGGAGCGGGGCTGAGTCATTATATATATATATATCTATTTATTTATTTTTTTTTGGAAACGAAAATGTATAATAACAATAAAGGGTAAAAATAACAATTTGAGGGAAAGGGTTAAGCTAAAGAGAATGCCCACATGAAGCCTGCAGCTCACTGCATTGTGTGCAATATTCTTAACAATACTCCTTCAATGGAAAAAACGTGAAAGAAAAAAATTATGTAAAATCAGCTTTTGGGAGCTCATGGGGATTTAATAATAAAGGGAAGGACAAGTAAAATTAGCTTACCCAGCAGTGTGTTTTACCAAAGCGACCATACCCTCTGCCACACTTCCGAGTAGGCCAGGTCCGTTCGTATCTCGGGTCAAATAGTCAGTTGGTTTATTTCGATTTCGATAGTATTGTCTGTCTGATCGACGCCACCTCTGCCATTGCCACTGAGCCTGTGACTTTGAGGAAGGGCCTGATGAATCAAGATTAAGATTAGAATATAAAATATCGTCCAATACTCGACTATTTGGTACGCTCGAATCCTTGATGGTTGGAATATGTTGATATTCTCCAGAATCGAGCTCATTTAATTCCTCTATCAGGCTTGAATCGTCATTCTCATCTTCCTCGTCTTCCAAAGCTCTCATATCATTTTCACTCATCTCGGCATCCGAGTCTGTAAAATCTTCTAAAATCTTAATTCGAGTACTATTTTGCGAAGTCGTCCATGAAACAAATTCTTGTCCATTCCTGGTTCTGCAGTCACCTTGAACGAATGGAGTCATTAAATCTGCTGCAGCAGCAGTAGTCAGCTCAGAAATAGCAAATTGATCATTGCCTTTAGTATCCAATCCTGTCCTATGCATCAACGGTTCGCTCTGCTCTTTACCTTGATAGTTCGTATTACCAACCCCAGCAAACAGCTTTTTATATGCCCTCTTGTCTTTTTTTCCAATTCGGCAACTTGACTTGGCACCTTGCCGCTTACCTCGTGTCATAATTGCATTTGTTAAACCTACCCAGCCCCTAACCAGGCTTGCCACAAAACCAGCCGGGTTGCCTAGCAGATCAAGGCTGATGAAGAGACGCCACCCAGCCGAAATTAGAGCCGAGGCTAGATAATGCTGGCCCATAAGTCGCCAGAGTTCCTTTGGTGGAATAAGAATCAGGCCATCTAGAGTTGAAACTTTGCAAGTTGGCATGTCCAACGCCATATAAGAGTAATTATCGTCCATTTCATCCTGTTTATTTGCTTTTTCTACCTTCTCCTCAATACCAAATAGTTCCGAGGACGAAGTAACATTATCATTAGAACAAGCTACTGTGTCAAATGGTGGATGCATTGCCATTTGTGAAGCTGAAAAATAGAAGGCGTCCAAGCAGATCTCAGTGGCATGACAGGAAATGAGGACCTTAAGATTCGTCTGCAGACTGAGTAACAATTGTGCTGGCAGCACATTCAGGCTACCCAGATGTAGCATCGCCGGCAACAAGGGTGATAAAGTGGATAATCTAGTAGATAAATTAGCATTTGTGATACCGACTCCTTCATCGGAAATCTGGATAGGTTGAATGACGTTAGAGTACTCAGCAATAAGGTGACGGGCAACGTGGAGAGCAGAGTCTTCAACGAAGACCTCACTCTGAGGAGGCCAAAAGCAAACAGCAGAGAATATGTAGGGCTGTGTAGAAAGGTTAGTAAAAAAAAGAGCAGAAGCCAGCACCTGTCTACGAGGACACATCTGCTGGGTTTCTTCCATTGATTGCGAGATACATAAGTCCAATGGACGACATGAAGAATCTGACAAGGGAACAGTCAATGACGTCGTTGATTGCGGGAGCCTGATGGGAGGAAATACGTGGGCAGATGAAAGCTGCCGAGTTTTTATGAGCACAGGAAAACGAAAGAGATCGCCTAGCAACCAGGCAGATAGCCAATTGTCGAGCTGAGCATGCGAGAAGGAAACTTGCAAAATACATTCTGCAGGGTCAAAGCCTAAGCGGCAATCATTGTATTCAAGACAGGCTGGCCAGACTAAATAGCACGTTTTTTAACAAAGTATACATGGTGGTGGGGAGTGGAATTAAATGGTAAGTTTTTGTGGCATAAGGATGAATAAGAAAAGTGAGATAACAATTTTGAGATATTAAACAGTCAGGCATTTGAGGAGTGGAACAAAATGGTACCGTATCGTAAATTGGGTTAAGGCAGAGCGAGGCGATGGCATAAGGTAGGGGAAAAGAATGAGGAAAAAATAGAAAAAGCAAACTTAGATAATAAAACAGGAATTATTAAAAGGTTAATGTATGACAAGAATTGAGCCAACATAGGTAGCTTAATGTGGTTCAAATAATGATATGTGGTTGTTCTAATAAGGATATGAGTATGAACACCAGCAATAGTGAAATGGTAACGCGTCGCCAAAATACGACTTTGTTTTGAATTCTGTAAGTGGTTCTATTGAGACCTAGGCAAGGTCAGAATATCGTCCATTTTGAAGGATAAAACCAACTTGGAGACAAGATTAAGTGAAATGTAATGCCATCATGAGACTAACTCATAGCATTGTGGGAAAAGCACACATATCAGTCCACTATACGCATATTTGGCTGCCTGAAATCTGGCTGTTTAAGAGCCTTCAATTCCCGTCCTCGATTACGCCATATTCGAGAATTTAGAGGAGATGATACCTATGTCCATGCCCATGCACATGCCAGTGCCTGGGAATCTTCCTCTACCTAGGCGTCATGCCCATAATGTGATTCTCCTCTCGCTCCTCCCCATCCCTATTTTTCCTCATTCTTTGGGGCCTTGTGTTCGGCTTAAATCGGAACCGCTGGTGTGGGAATATACTGCTTCCATTTTTTCCTTTAAATCGCGAAAAGCACAGTCTCGTCTCTATAGTTGGCACTCCCATCTAAGCCTAGGGTATTGGGATGATGTTCATACGTGTGGGTTGGTTGGTATCCCCCGTGGTCAAGCCTGTCACCAGTCGCCCTTCCTTCAGACAGAGATACGAAAAATACACGCAATATCTAAGCG